TACACAATATTAAAGAACCATTTTATAGTTAGCAGACAAAGAAAAACAATCACAACTCGGTTAAATTTGACATTTTCCCAATCCCTTTGGAGTTTAACTTCCTTGAGCTTCTTGTTCAATACCATCATCTTCTCTTCATTTTCATTCAATTGAAATTTCAAAGAATCCCTTTCTTCTTCAAGCTCTTTCACTTTTCTCTTTAGTCGATCAATCGGATTATGACCATCTATGAATCTATTCATTAAGGATGATTCATCAACATTTTCAAGTGACGGATCAATCCATCTAAAATAGCCACATCCACCATTTTCCTACAAACCACATAACAGTAATAAATATACAAAAATGTTGATTTTTCAAATAATACAATAATAGTAGTTTTTGTTCAAGTAATTACAAACCTTTGATGCTTTGCATCCAAAAAATCGACGACCTGGGTTCAATGGAGTCCTCGAAGTTTTCAGTCGACAATAATAACCACACTTACATACATCGACTTCCTCGATATTCACTGAACTTTGCGACATTTGATAAAACACAACTGATTTAGAAGAGAGAAACGTTGGATATTTAGAGAAAGAAGAGAGAATTGGGGATTAGGGTTCTAAAATGTATTTGGGGAAAGAAGAATTGGGGATTTTAATGTTAAAATATCCAAGTTAACGTTGGATGTCTTAAATGCAGGGTAAAAAATGGGAGAAAAAACAATTCACGCGCCCAATTTGCGTGAATCACAAACGATTTGCCATGTAGGCAAAAAATGCTTAGATGGTTCAAATCTGGGGTGGTAGAGGTGTTCAATAGGTACTAGGTGTAGTTGAGGTGTCTAAATGAATAATGAGGACAACTTTGAGGGGCCGCAGATGACTTTGACCCTTAATAAAATTGATGACTCCACCACTATACACGTACATATTTATTATATTAATTTAAATATTGGGTATCAATTATGAGATTTTAGTGAGGCAAGTGCAACTCTTATCGTACTAATATGAGAAATCTTCATACAAACTTGAAATTTAATATATTCTTTCTCTAAGTAATGGATAAAAATATATCAAATGTAGTTTTTCGGAAGGAATAAAAAAGTTATTTTCATAAGTAGTCATCACGTTTACAGTTTACTTTTCTTAGCCGATATATATAAATTATATATTAATTATATACTACTATAATACATGAATTAAGTACACACATATATGAGAAATTTTCATACAAATTAAACTTGAAATTTTGAAATTAATCAATTCTTTCTTCAAGTAATGGATAAAAATATATTTAATGTAGGTTTTCAGAAGAAAAAAAAGTATCTTTTTACAAATAACTTGTCATATTCATTGTTTATTTTTCTCTGTCAAAGTATATAGATTATATACAATTATTATACAGAATAAATATGTATTCACAACTCAAATCATAGATATCATTAAAAAATTGATCTTCTAGAATTTTGTCTCTAACTCACTGGAGGCACGGAAAATAAAAAGAGATGTGTACGAATGAGTTACAGTTGTTATTACAAATTTTTAGGTTATTTTTAATAGGAAAAAAGACAAATATACCTTTCGAACTATCATAAATGATAGCTAAATACTTTCCATTATATTTTTGGGACACTGATGCTCTTATCGTTTAATTTTTGGGTGTATATATCCTTTGGACTAACGGAGGGACACATGTCTCGATCTTAAAGACCTATTCAAATTTTATTTGATTAAAAGACCCAAATTAAACACCCACCCCAATAACTAAGATCCAACCCAAAATCTTCATATGCCCATTTCAAAAATAAAAAAATTATTTTCATTCCTAAAAGAACTCAAATCTTGATACCACAGGCTACAACATACATCTCAAATGAAAAGCAACACATTGAAGCATATCAAAGAATCAAAATTAACTTTCAAATTTCAAGGGAAAAAATCAGTCTTGGTTAAGAACTCACTCTACTTCAACCAACAAATTACAAGCCCTAATATGCTTAAAGAAGTAATGGACCACTTTATTAGAAATCTCAACAACATTGTATCATATCTAAGACCCATCACTAAATTAGAAGACAAATTCAAAAATTAAAATGCTCTAAAAAAACTAAATTGAGCACTTTAATCTTTGCCTAGGTCTATTTCTAGGACAGTTGAAACAAGACACCTCAGTCTTTTCACTCAACAACAACAACAAATCAAATAGACACGTGTCCTTCCGTTAGTCCAAAGGATATATACAATCCAAAAATTAGATGGTAAGGGCATTAGTGTCCTAAAAATATAACGGAAGGTATTTAGATACCGTTTATGATAGTTTCGGGTATTTATAACTTGCATGTTGCAATGGACCAACTCAAAGTCCAACTAGCTCCCTTGGGCTACTTCCAAAGCCTTTATCTACACAAGCCCAAAGTAATCTTTTGGACACTTTTGTTTTTTTATTGTTATTTACTTAAAATTCATGCATAGAGAGTTTTGTTGAGCATTATTTACTTGGAATCTTTCTTTAATATGCAAAGGTGAAAAGGGTCTTTGATGAGCACTTATTTGTAGTGCTTTATTGAATAGGATTCTTTATAATGTAAAGAAGGGAACAAGAATTTTCTAACTATAGCTTTTTTTTCCTTTGATTTTATTAGGTTGGACCATTTTGTGCTAAGGAAATATACTTTATCCTATATGATAAGCTTTTATTTGTTTGCTGGCTAGTGGTTGAATATATAGATTGGGCAACGTGTAAATTATAGGAATTTTATTTTACAGCTATACTGGAATATTTGCGCAAATAGCCGATCGAATTTATAACTTACTTTTTAATAGTTGATATACATAAATTCTACATTAAGTATATATAGTTATATACATGTTATGTATAGTCTATACATATATTATATATCCACAAATTATTTTTAGTTTGAGCGGTTAAGTAGATGGTTATTTATGTGAGCTCATGTTTTAGGTGGGAAGCCTAGATAAGAAGCAATTACATGTGAGTAATTAAACCAAAGAAGAAACATCAAATTCTCAATCTTTTTTGGTGGTGAAATGAAGCCAACACATACTTTTTTAAAGTTTACTTGTCTATACCGTTTTTAGTTTTTGTTTGACGAAATTGAGTGACTTTTTGGTTATAAGAATTATTTTAGTTACTTTTATGATACTTAAATAAAATTAAATGATTTTTTGCTGCTAGAAAAAATAATTTAGTAATTTTAATGTAATAATTAAAGTGGAAATTAAGTATGTTGTTATGGTTATTATTACATGGCCCTTTTTCTCAACATCAAGTATATATCTGGGCCTTACAATGTATTTTTCAGCCCAAATACTTGTTGGCAAAAACTAACAAGACTAATCTTGTGGACCTTGGAATAGGAAAATAAAAAACTACGAACGAATTAACGATGAAGTTCATAGCTCATTACGATTATTTTTTGTAGTGTCGGATATAATGTTATACAAATCATGCCTTTAGACATATATCAAGAAAAGGTCATCCTCCTAATCTATGAGTTTCTTTGTGATAGAAAATATTAAAGCCAAACAATCATCCTTTGGCTTATTGTAGTTCATGATGACTCGAATTGATTGTATGGTGTAATGAAGTTCACATTTTTATTTTTATTTTGGTGAAAAATAATAAGTACCTTAGGCCACCAAATGAAGTGGGATATATTGGTATATTTGATTATTTTTTTGGACCCCTCAAGTTTATGGTGGCTGAATTGTATAGTTTTTTTTTTTTCCCTTAAATTTCGTGTCAAGTTAAATAACATTACATAAATTGAGACATAGAATATATTACTTAAGAATCAATTTCTAAACATATCTCAAATAAACAGTTGGTAGTATCTATATATACTTTCTTATATTAAAGAGTTCTTTTCAAATAAAAGAATTCATTATGACAACAGTTTCGAAAAGACAAATTAGACTTGCTCCATTCGGACCTAAGCAAGAACTTAACTTTAAATTTTGTATTTTATCTTTTCTATACAAATGTCTAGTCTGATTTACACTACATATTTTAAAAGTAATTCTTTCTCCACTATATTTTATGTCTAAGTAAAATTTGTCATATAAATTGAAATGAAAGTGGAATTATATTAAAGAGAAATATATGACAAAATCAATTAGCTCTGTGTTCCAAGTATAGACTATGCTTTTCTCCACATAATTACCATTTTACAATGAGAAAAATTCACAAAGATTAAGACATGGTCCCCTCATATTCTCCTTAATCCATGTTTTGACAACCTAAATCAGTAACTAAGCAACACTACAAATCCCAAATAGTGGTCGGTTATTTTTGTCTAAGTTACTTTCTTCAAGACAATTAGAAGAGTAAATAATGTTATTTAAGACTCTTTTAAGAATGTTGTAGTCTTAATCTTGTGCAAAAGAGTTCACACTTCATGTGAATTTCCTTTCAATTTGCGACATGTAGCACTTGCAGTTTGTTGACATGTGGCTTCATTATTTTTTTTGCAAGTTTTACTGTTTTAGCAACGACTTTTGGAGGATTAAGATTACAATGACCAATATTTCTGGATTCGATTAATTTAAATTTGTATTATTTGAATTTTTAATCAAGTTTGGTTTTCCTACGACTTTTGGAGGGTTATCTGCAATTTACTTGATCTTTAATTTGATAATAAGTAGTATCTACTTAGGCCAGACTAATTTAAATTTGCGTCAAAAAAATAGTAATTTACAAATTTAAGACACCAAATAAATGAAGAAAAATTGTGCAAAATATCAACTTTAAAATATGATGACTTCATAAATAAAGAAAACATGTGGAAAATATGAAGAATAATTTTATAGATATCAAAAATGAGTGATGCAACTTCATAGATACAAAATTTAGTGCAAAAGTGCACTTTGACTATGCAATAACATTATCTTAATAGACACGACATGTTTAATAGATAAAAATCGACAATTAAGTTCAAAGAATAATAGGACTCTCACATGAGGGGAGGAGTAATAGGATCCTCGTATAATTTAGATATGTAAATCATATTTAGGAGGATAATAGAACTCTTGCATAATTGACAATTTGATCACAATTCATAGAGATTTTTGTGCCTTATCCAGTAAAATTTCTCACTTTTAATTAAAGCTAGAAGTTTTTATGATATTAATTTAATCGAGGGACATAATCAACAATAAAAGCTTCCTATAATTGATCCTAATTTATTTGAAATTGAGATATAATTATTGTTGTTGCTTAATTGTATTAGAATAACATAGACACATTAAAAAGGTGTTTATATTTAAACTTTTATATATGTACAAACACCTACTAAGAGTTGAATTAATGCTTAAATCTTTTTCTCCTTCGTATGATAGCCAATGCAGACGGAATACATATTAGGCATACCAACAACGATTGTGGTGGAGTGGTAAATACTCATTCATCCTTAATTAGAAATGAGTTATAATTTGGGCAAGCCATATTGCCTTTTTTAGGTAACAAAAGAATAACCCCATTATCAATAATGGACCTTGGAATAGGAAAATAAAATGTACTGTATTCTTTTTTTCTCTAAATTAAATTAACAAGTTGGTGCTTGGATGATGGGAGAGCCAAATTGCTTGTAGGTGGAGAAATTCTAAATTACAATGTCCCACATGTTAAAAGCATGCAAAAAGCCATCATTAAAGGCACAAACCAAAAGAGAAAAAGCAATTAGGTCATTATTATTATTAGAAGATTAGATGCATTCTTGGTTAATTTGCAATCTTTTTATGTCTATATGATGGTCTATCAAGAAAGTTGAGAACTCCTTTGTATAAAAAAAGATTAGATTAATGGGGAATCAACATTAATCAATTTCATCAAGAAAGCACTAATCCATCCCATTGTTTATCCAACAACAACAATTCCAAACAATTTATTACCTAATATTACTTTTTGATCGCATATCAATTTTAGCATGTGCATTAATGCAATACTCATCTTTTGGATATGTTGGACTTTAATAACTCAACATTCACTATCGTATAACAGTATGTTATAATTATTGTGTATAACTTATCCTTCTATGTATCACATAATTAACACCTTGTTAGCACCTCTTCATTTTCAATAATTTGACTAATCCTATGAAGTAGGGGTGTACATGATCGGGTTGATTTAGATTTTTCAAATATCAAATCAAACCATTTGTGTCGGATTTTTAAATCTATAAATCAAATCAAACCAATAAAATTCGGGTTTTTCAACCTCGGGTTTTTTTTGGTTTTTATATGATATGAGTAATGATACTAAAATATCCAACAACAAAATAATAATAATGAAATAGTGTAAAACAAATATTGCAAATTAACAAGTCATAATGAAAATTAATCATAATTTAAAAGTTACTAAATACATGCTAAAATAAGTTTAAAGGCTCCTCATACATGCCCTTTATCACATTCGTATATTTAAAAAATCACCATTTGTTAAACAACGAAGTATATATACATCATTAGCTAGACGCCAAATATATATATACACACTATTTTTTTAATCAAAGAATATATCTGTTCTAAATCACACAGGTTGAAGGATATATTTATCCCTTTCCCCAACATAAAATAATGTAACTGGAAAAAAAAATGCAGTTGAAGAAGATTTAAAGAAAGGGCAGGCACTAAAGTTTTTGAATTTTCATCTACCTTCCTATCATTTCCTACTATTTCCCTACCTAACTAGACTATAAAAAAAAACAACTCTTTCCCATTAGATAAAATATTTCAAAAAGGCTACAAAAAATATACTTAAAGACTATAGTATCATCTTTATTTTTTTGTTATTACTAGATAAACAATTCTGGTTAAATTGTTTCTATATGCCCAATTCAGCAGCACTTTGGTTCCTGACAAGTCTTGGTCATTGTAAAGTACTCCTATCCTATTGATGGCACCAAGGAAAAATTACTTGAAATTTTGACCAAAATTTTGTCAGCTCCTTGGTTAGAGCCCGTTTAGATCGACTTAAAAAATAGTTTTTAAATTAAAAAAAAATAAACTTAAATAATTTTTAACTCTAAAAATAAAATGTATCCTGGTTTTTAAATTCATTTTAAATTTATTTTAAGTTATTAATCTTGTCAAACACTTTGAAAAGCCTAAAAATAACTTAAAAGTAGGTTTGATCAACTTTTAAGTCAATCCAAATAGGCTTTTAGTACTCTCACGATCCATTTTATATGACTTACTTTTTTTTAGTCAGTTTCAAAAGGAATGTCACATTTCTATATTAAGTAATAATTTAACTTTAAAATATATATTTTATCATTGATATAATGATTTATAGTTACACAAATAAATACTTACCACTTATTTTAGAACACAAATTTCAAAAGTTTTTCTTTCTTTCTTAAACTCCATATTGAATCAAACTAACTCATATAACATGAGACGGAGGGACAATCACTACATCAAAAATGATCTTTAGCGGCAATTAATTAGCAATTGCCGCTAAATATGTATTTTTAGCGGCAATTAACACTCTTTGTATATAATCCTTAAGGCTTTAGCGACATTGGATCTAATGACACTTAACTAATGCCGATAAAGACTTTAACACTCTTTATTAATATGTCTATTTATTACCGCTAAAAATTATTTTTATTGCATTGAATCTACCTAGCTGGGAAAGCCAGATTCTGAGTAGGTTATAAGTCAAGTTACAGTTGCAGAAAGAAAGAGGGCAAAAAAGAGTAATTGGTGGTACTTAAACTCAGCCAATGCCACAAATAAGTGAAAAAAGAAGGTTCTTTAGTTGAATAACAAAAAAAGGTTGCTGCTTTTTATTAAGTTTATCCATCTGAATCTTCAAAACAAACTTTCAGGTATTTGCTGTGATAATGGTTTTCTTGGAGTTACAAAGTTTTTTTTGAATCATAGAATAGAATAACCATTTCTTTTACTAGTACTTAAGGGGCTTGTTTTTTGTGTTATGGAAATTGGAGGTGTAAATGCCATGTGGTGAGCTCAGAGGTCAGCACATGGCTTTCTCATACTTCAAAGTGTTGAAACAGTAGAGGGGTTTTAGGATTTCAAGAGAATCAGTGACAGAGGAAGACCACTAGATTAATGTTTAGAAAAACAAAAAAAATACATTTTTCTATGAAGAGGAAACAGCCCATCAATTTAATCCTTGTTTGCACTTCTTCTAATGTCATTATTTAAAACCTACCAAACTACTTCTTTTCTTCCATTTTTTAGCTCCTTCTTTTGGCTTATTATTGAGTTTTTGTGTGCACTTTTCACAGCTTAACTCAAGCTAGTGAAGTGAAGTGCTATATTTGCTTTCTGAATCTTGAAAATGTATTGTTTGACACTTTCTTATACACTCTTAAATCAAGATTGCAAGTGTCAATCATCTTATTGATTGTTCATCAGTACATTCAACAAAGTTCCCATTTTTTTTCCCTTTTCTTTATCCAACATTTAACTTTTTCAAGTGCTACCTGATTGGGTATAACTTTCCTCTTTTTTTCCCTTTTTGTTCCTCTTATTTCTTTTGCAAAATCTTGAAAAAAAAACCCAAATCAAATGGCTTCATCTATGTCTCTTCTCAGAAGTTCAATACCATGGATTGCAGTTCTGGTTCCACCATACTTGTTATTTGCCAGTTTTTCAGGTCATGGGGTTGTTTCTATTTCCATCACAACTTCAGTTTTGGTTGTATCTACCATAGCTTTCACATTCTCAAAACAAAAACATAAAGTCCTCAAGAAATCATCAGTCCAAGAAGAAGAACCTCAAAATGGTAACTTTGGACATGTTGAGGAAGTTTTATCACTCCAAAGTCCAAGAATTGAAAAAGGGGTGGCTCAAAATGGGATCTTTAAACAAGTTGAAGAAGTTTTATCAGTCCATCACTCCAAAGTCCAAGAATTGAAAATCCAAGAATTGAAAATGGGATCTTTAAACAAGTTGAAGAAGTTTTATCAGTCCATAATCCAAGAATTGAAAAAGGGGTGTCTCAAAATGGCAACTTTGGTCAAGTTGAGCAAGTTTTTTTAGTCCAAAATCCAAGAATTGAAAATGGGGTTGCTCAAAATGTTAACTTTAAACAAGTTGAGCAAATTTCATCAGTCCAAAATCCAAGAATTGAAAATGGGGTGACTCAAATTCATGATTTATTTTCAGAAAGTGAGAGTCTTGGTGGCCCCTTATCTTCAAGTGAAGATTCAGATATTGAGTGGCCATTCTCTGGTGAGTTAGAACAGAGTCCACTATGCTCAGATGGTTCAATTTCTGATGAAGAAAGCCTTATTGAAATAGCACTTCCAAGTGGTCAATTTGTAAAAGATAGTCCCAAATTATCTTTTCATCAACAACACCAAAAGGTAGTATTTGCAGATTTAGTACCAAAATCCATCTTTCAACAACATTGCTTAATGGATTTCTTGGCAGATATAAGTGATGTCTATGAAGAAGACAATTTGATAGAGATTGACATATCCATGGGATCCATCAAATGTTCAGGATTTGAGATTTCAGCATAAAGTGGCTATATTTTAAATTTTCTTGATGTCTACTTGTCTAATACTAATTTGTTTTTATCAAGTTACCAATCAGAGTTGTGGTGGAGCGACGAGTAATCTTTCATTCTTAACCAAGAGATTTCGAATTTGAATTTCTGAATACGAAATCGTCTATGTTAGGAAGCGGGAAAGTTTCTAAGTTTTTTTTATCCTTGATGGATTTTGTGCTAGCCAAATTACATTTTCTTTGGTTGTGAACAGTGAAGTTTGTGCTTGCTAATACATTGAATTTGCCCAATGAAAAGAGACTTTGGATACCAATCATAATTGTTTTCTCTTAATGTACATTAAAGTGTTATTAAAAGTTTAAAAGATCATGTTCCTAGGCAAATAAATAAATAAGATTATTCTATTTGCATTTCTTTATGTCTTAATCTTCTTTTTGCTGTCTTTGGCCTTATCTTAGTATTCCATTTGTTGAATCATATCTTAATCTTAGGATCTATATCACATGTACAGTGTACTGAACAACATTTTCTTGATTTTCATTTTAAACATTTCAGATACACCAAGGAGTGTTAACTAAAAGCCCGTTTGGATAGACTTAAAAAAGGTACTATAGTCGTTCACTTTTAATTGTTATATTTTTCTTTTTTAGAGTCAAATAATAATAAATTTGACCAATATTTTATGATGTATTTTTTCTTCATATTTAATATGCAAAAAATTGGAATTTATAGTACTTTTCGTATAGTTTTTGAATATCTATTTTTTTTAAAATATCGAATTAATATAATTTAATAACTTTTGAAAAGTGCAACATGACAATTAAAAATGGATAGAGGAAGTAACTTTTAAGTCAAAAAATAAAAAAATAAAATTCTAAATGACAGTCAAAAAATAAAAAGTAGGGACAGTCCTACTTTTGGTCTGTCCCACTTTTGGTTTTTAACTTTTTTTAAAAAATTATTTTAAATTAATTTTAAGTTATTTTTAACTTTGTCAAATACTCTCAAAAGTTAAAAATGACTTAAAAGTTAAAAGTGGATTTGATCAACTTTTAAGTCAATCCAAATAGGCTCTAGTTCAGATTTTCTGGAAATAAAATTTGTATAAAATTTGTTACTTATTGAACTTTTTTAATAGACTTGTCGTTTCCGTAGTTCGAGAATCTGTTGTGATTGAGCCATGAATCATGTTTGATGAGTGGGTATGTGGTTAGCCTTTCCATTTTTCTAAGTTTTGATCAAGGTCACATCATGTTGAAATGCTTTATTATACATAAACTGATTGATGTTCTTCTTGAAATATTGATATCTTAGTCCAATTTGAATGTTTATTTAGGAGGTGCAAATAAAAATTTCTATTTATTTGATTTGTTACGAAATTGACCATGGGTTGATTTTCACAAAAGTTTTTTATTTTGACCTCTATCTTTTATTTGTAATAAGTATTGATGTATACTCGAATTTCGTTTTTTTCATTAACCATTGACAATAGGTCAAAGTTAACATGTCTATATTTTTTTTAGATAATTTGCATGAGCTAAATAAAACCCTAAAGTCAATGATTATAAAATATTTGAAAACAACTTTAATTTTTATTTTTTTTGGCTAGATGGTACCTTAGTGAAGACAGATATAAGATCGAAAAGTACAATATAACTAACTACTTGGAGACATATAAACCATGCCCTAATGAGACAACATTTGGTCTCAAATAGGAATTTTTTTTACTAAAGAGAGAATTCTTGAACCATACTTTGTGATCTTTGGTCATTAGGTCCTGTCATAGAGACTTCTAACACAATATGGCAAAATGCCTCAGTTTTTGTAAGCTTCCCCACCCCATAAACCCATATTAATAATTTTAAAAAGAAAGACAGTTTGGTGTACAAAGTATCCCACGTCATATCAATAAAGAGCTTAATGACAAAACATTGAGGGAAAAAATGAAGGGAAATTGACTGCTAAATAGGGAAAAGGAAGAGCAATACAAAGTGTGACAATTTAACAATTTAGGAAGGTAAAGGGGTTGGGGTCACAAACATGGGCCAAGTGCAGAAATAGGCAAAGTCCATGGAAAATTATTGCACCAAAAATGATCTTCGACGGCTATTAATTAATGCCAATTGCTTAATTACCGTTAAATATATTTTCTTAGAGGCAATTAGCATTCTTTGTGAATGTCCATAAAGTCTATAGCGACACTAAATCTAATGGTAATTAACTAATGTCGTGAACGATTTTAACACTCTTTATTAATGTGTATATTTATTACTGCTAAAAGATATTTTATTATAGTGAATGTTTTCTTGGAAAACAAGTTAGTCTTACTTATTTTCTAATGTTTGTTAAGTAAACAAACAAATATTATTTCAAGAGCGTTTATATATAATTTTGCAAAACAGAGATGAGAGGTGGTGGGGAGTTGGGGGCATGGGCGCGGAGATACAATAAACATAGAATATCACTGTTTCCTTACTTCTATTATGGAAGTCATTTTCCTTAATTATAAGAGAAAATGTTTTCAAAAATTTTGTCCAGTCAAACATGAAAAAATAAGAAAATATATTTTCCTCCGTAACAAACACTCCCAATGACCCGAAAGTGGAATGGACCGTTACAGCCCAATTCCACTGGATCAAGGAAATATTGGGCCGTCCGGTCTGGCTGGGTTTCATTTAATATGGGCTTTTCAAGTAGCCCAAGCTTCTCATCACAAGTGCTCCAGAATGATACATGTAATGAAATAAATTCTGGCAAAAGTCGATGCAATTTGATTGACATGAAATTTAAGATATTCTAGTAAAAAAAAATCTAGTTTAAAATAAGTTATAGATATTAAAGTAAATATAAATTATCTCAGGAAAATTGAAAAAAAAAAATAAAGTTAAATTATTTTTTAATATTGTAATATATCATTCTTTTTAGGATTGATTACCAGAAAAATATAGGGAAAATTGTATAAAATAGCAAACTATTAATTCAAATTAAATGTTATAACCACAGTTTGATTTAATTGTAACCCGTAGCAAACTGTTGCCATTTCGCCTCTCCCTGAATTTCTCGCTCGCCACTCTCGTTTCTCGTTGGGCAGTCTCTCCTTGCCTCTCTCATTTTATACAAACACAAATGTATAAAATGCGTTTGTGTTTGTATAAAGCGAGAGAAAACTGTATATA